GCTTTGGTTACACTTAAAGCAAAATATGAATCGACTTTAAGGTTTCATCAAATTTTCATCATATTTTGGTACCAATATAAAGGTTCAACGCTGGGCTGAGTGTATTTTGAAATTAAAAGAAGGCTGTATTGATAAGTTGAGCATTAAACCAAACATTGTAAATAATTATGTTGTCAATCTTTATTATTGTTTATAAATGTGAACACAAATACATTTATTTATTTTGTGCATGTGTGAAGTAAAAGTTTACCGATGTACGTTCAAGATAATCCTGAAATCTAAACCTTTTGCTGATTTAAGTATTCAGATAATACAATCTATCTATCAATCAATCTATCTGCTATCTAAGAGCTTTAAAAACAGACTAAGAGCAAGATTATCAATCACTAAAATACGAATAAATCACGAAATAAAGAATGAGATAATAATTCTACAAATAAAAAAAATAAAAAACTTGACTTATAAACTATATGAACTCTAGAAAAGAGATTTTAATCAAAGCCAAACTCGCACTTACAATTTTTCTTTTTAACCTGCTATTTTTAAATTCCTGATTAAGAAAATTTATTACTTTTTGTTTTGAAAAATCACTTGAGAGGTCAGCTTTTCACTTCCCATAAAGTTAAAACCTGCCTAAGTTTTATATTTTCTTCACAAATAGAAGCATTTATTAGACAGGGTATTATGTAATATAGCTTAATGTGTGTTTTCTATTCTATAAGTAAAATAACTCCTGATTTCAGTTCAATTGAATTTATGGAACATTTTATAACAATATCACGTAATAATCCTTAAAACACGAAAGTCCAATAATGTATGCCAGTAATATTACTTTAAAATGCTTGAAACCTAACAAAACAGGGTAAAAATATTCTACAAATATTTTTACTTGCTTCCTAATGACAAAATATCCACTTTATTGAAACCTTTCTTGAGACTATTTTTGAAATGATAGAAACGATTAAACTTTTAATAAACCTTCCAATTGTTCAGAAACTCAAAATTCAGATCACTAGAAAATTTTCAGTACCAATATTGTGATGTCAGAAATATTTAAAACTTTTACGGAATTTTATGCTCGTTCCTATCGTTATAAAGGCTTGTTTCAAAAACAGAAATACAAAGTTCTTTATAATCATTGCAAAGAAAGAAAAAAAAACCAGACATTTAAACATTTTATGGAATAAAAAAAAATTCCGAGAATAAAATCTTTTTTTTTTGTGAAGTGGTAAACTTTTCAAAGAATATTCTAAAACATATAATGGACTTTGTGTCTTATGTGTAAAGACAGAAACTAAACTCCAATATATTACTCTGAATTAAAAAGGCACTTACAATCAACTTTGTACCAATTTTAAAAGTTACTATTAAAAACATAATTGATTTCATGTATACCAAATTTATAAAAGTATATGCCATATTAAGTTTTAACAAATACGCTTTGTGCAAATTGAACCTTTTAAAACTAAATTATACTATGCTATGGTTCTACTCGATAGAAAACATGGTTAAATTCAACGCGATTTTACGTTATTATGATTTAAGTTATACTCTCAAAGGAAAAAAAATTGGTCTAAAGTAAAATCATAGTTTTGTTGCATTGAGCCATAATACGTTGAAAATTTGTTGCAACTTCATAAGGTGTCAAATTGAATTCTATTTCTTTTTGAGTAGAGCCATAATATAGCTTAATCAAATTGAAGAAATAAGATAATATGGCTCAACTTAGTACCATTTTAAGGTTGTAGCAAGTTTGAACGATATGATAGTTTAACTCGCTATGATTAAATGTTTAACCAATTTTTCCGAGAATGTAACATAATTTTTCATTCGGAAAGCATTACTAATTTTTAAAAAAGCTCAAAAATATTTGTATGTTAAGAACAGATTATAAAAACTTAAACATTCATCACAAGTTTCCATTGTTTTATTTTTTACACAGAATTTACTAGTTTGAATATACTAAAATACACGGAATAACTAATCACTTTCTAAATCGAATAAATGGATGCAAATAGCAAAAAACCTTTTAAAATCGACTTGTTTCGAAATAAAATGAACTATAAAGTTTACATTAATGATACAATTTCCCTCGTTTGATTTTTATACTGAATTTTACCAGTTAGCATAGATTAATACACGAAACAACTAATAACTTTTCAAACCGAATAAATTGCCTGCAATGTTTGAAATGAAATTAATAATGAGGTGTATTTAAGCTATATCATTCGATTTTTTATGCTAAATTTTACTAGTTTTCATACATTTAAAAACGTAAAATAACAAATAACTTTTTAAACTGAATAAATTGCATGCAATGTTTGAAATAAAATGAACAATGAGGTTTACCTAAGCGATATCATTTAAGGATCATTCATCAGAAAGCAAAGGACGTCAAAAGCTTCTGAATGCCAGAGATACGTTCTCTGTCTAGAGCAAATATCCCAGGGGTTTCAAATAAGACTACAAGAAATAAAAAAACAGTAGCAAGGGGTACAAATCACTTGCTGCCTTGTGGATTAAAAGCCTCTTCTGTTATCTAAATACTCCCTCATAGCTCACGGCAGCTATCCTTTTCAATAGCCAGTGGAGGGGGATTATTAGACTTTTCATAACTGCGGGATTTTCCCAGTAGAGTCTGTAGCTTGCGATAACAGAATTGCTTATGGGGAGAGGGAAAGCATGGATATGGAATTCTATTTCCTCTTTTTTGTGGGTGTGTATCACCTACTGATGAGTTTTTCGTAAACTATTGGCCAAAATTTAGCCATACATGCATATTTTTACATGCTTTCTTTAATGTCAACTTTGGAACTTTATTTTCTGTTTTTTTTGCTGGTATGTATAACTGATGACTCTAAGCAAATCACTGATCAAAATTTAGCAGCATATGCATGCTTTCACAGATTTCTTCGATCGCAACTTTGGAATTCTATTTCCGATTTTTTGTGGATGTACATAACCTACAGATGAGCGCTTTGTAAACTACTGGTTCAAAATTCAACTAAATATGCATTATCTTTACATGTTTTATTTGGAAATAATTTTGTAATTCCATTTCTAATTTCATGTGGTTGTGTATAACAAACCATTGAGCGTTTTGTAAACTACTAGTTCAAAATTCAGCCACATGTTTTCTTTTACGTTAATTTAGGAATTTTATTTCCTATTTTCTGTGAGTGTATATAACCTATAGACAAGCTTTACTACTGGTCAATATTAAGCCACATATGCATAGTTCTATATATTTTCATTGATGTTAACTTAATTGTCAATTTTTATTTGTTATCTTTTCGCAAAATAATCAATTGCTTTAAGCGTAATGAGTAAGCATTGGAATGAAAATAGGATTAAATTAATGAACGTAAAAAAAAGCATTAGAAAGAGTTTTCCAAAGGTGTAAAAAAATGAGTTTTTAGTTAACTTTCAATAATGATTTTTCTTATCTTTCAATAATGATGAACAATTTTATCTTCTTTTTCAAGACAGCCAACTACTATTAAATTCCCTTAGTGGACTGGATATAAAAGAAGAATTAAATTTGATTCAGTTGAAATTAACAGGAATAAAAGTAGTGAGAAAATATTAAAAATAATTGTGAAAATATTAAAAATAATTATTCAATGAAGTTCTGTCATTAACTTGTAATATATCCATCTTAAGCATACTCACTGTGATAAATTCTTTTTAATTCATTAATCCTCTAAGAGTTTGTCAGGCATTCCTGTACCAAAAACTTGATTCTGTTTATGTGCATAACAGAGAAATTTCTCAATACTTGGAAATTTAAACAGATATGTATAAATATTGAAAATAACTTTCAGACGCACTTATTTTGTCAATAACTGTATATTAGAACGCTTAAAAAATTTTTTTTGAAATTTAACTATTGAAAATCAAAAGACAAAAGAAAATCAAAAGCCCTTAGTTTGAATTATAGAAAACAATAAAAACTTAAACTGAATGCCACGACTAAAACAAGATATAAAAAAACAATTATTTAATGAGAATCGAATAGTCACTTCATGAAAATGGCTAAGAAAATTTATGACAGCTCGAAATAAATTTTGGATAAGACTGCTGATTCTGAGTTCATCTTGTCAAAGAATGTCAAACTGTCAAAAATATGCACAAATGTTCAAAAGTAATTTGATCTGCCAATAATAAATATAGGAGGTACTTATCATATGTTTATCAAAAACTTATCTAAGGGAAATTTTTAAAGTTTAAATTTTATGCAGAGTTTAAATACAGACGAAATTTACAAGTCAGCTGAAAAAATGGAATCTGTTTTTTCATTAATAACAATATATTTTTTCAAATGTTTAGATTAAAAAGATTTTTGAAGAACAACATGATTTTTTTTCTTTATGTTCTTTCTGAAATAAAATTTCGGTAAGCGAGCTGGCGGATACTTCCCATTTCGTTCTAGAGATTAATATTTGTAGCGCAAAATCTGTAGTTGATTTCGAGTATTAAACTATCGGTCGGTACCAATGATAGTTTAGTATATTTTCAACAACAAGATACTGAATACTTATACAAATGTATTTGCATTTACGTATGGGAAACGTCTCGAATAATAAAATATAACACCAATGAAACAGTCTGAATAAAGCACAAAAAAGTATTGAAATGGACATACTATAGTTTCGGTTCTATAAACAAGAACCTTTTTCAGTGTCACCAAATGAAAAAATGACAGTAGAAAAGGTAAGAGCTTCTACTGTCATGAGAAAGATTCTTGTTTATAGAACCAAAACCATAGTACTTCTATTTCTGTACTTGTGTTTTATTCTCGCTGTTTTTTGCTTTATAATATGTAGCACAAAGTATACTTTATCCTCCTTTTGAAATTGTATCTCTTTCAGCTTCTAACTGTCAGCATAGGCTTGTGAGTACCCCAGACTTTCAAAAACAAAATAATAGAAAGCACAATGTATTGACTTGTTAACATAAGAATCAAACAAAACTTTCTAATGATCTTAATATTTTTCCAGATCTATATCCGAACGGTAAAGGCGATGTCGACGAAAACACACGCAACTTTCTCTTGAAAGTTGTGGAAATTATGTTAGATTTCATTTCCAAAACTAATGACAGAAAGGCAAAGGTACTGGATTTTCATCAACCTGACCAGTTGAAGCAAATCCTTGATCTTGAGATACCAGATGAGCCATTGAATTTGGACCAGTTGCTGGTGGATTGCAAAGATACGTTAAAGTATCAAGTCAAAACAGGTATAAATTAAGATTTTATTTAAAATAATATAAATAAATGTTTCGTTTTGGTATTAAATGTGAGCAAAAAATTGTTTCTCTAGAATTGTCCTAGTTGCAATGTTTTAAAAATTGTTATATGCATGTAGAACAGCACTTATTTCTCTCTTGTTGTAAAGTTCTTACAACTGTGCCCAGTAGAACTCAAATACGACAGATTTGCATAAATTGTTTTTCGATGAAAAATAATTATTTTTTAGTTAACAAGGAAACATTTCTGCGAACTCCCCTTTTTATTTTGTTTTTTGTACTTATTTGCTAATAAATTAATTGTTTTTGAGAAATGGGTCTGGTAGAGGTTAATCCGAGCATAAGAGGAAGGTAAGTCTTTTCTTACTTTTTTATATAAGTAAAAATGAAAATTAAGTTAGAAATTGAAACTTCGTTTATTTATAAAATAAAATGAATTAGATAAATTATAAGAAAACTGATTAAAAGAATTAAAAAAATAAAAACAGATAATATTTTAAGTAGCTTTTTCAACACAGACAAAATATAGAAAAGAGTTTTTTTTTGTTTTAAAAATAGTTCATGTAAGAAAAGATTACTTTAAAATAGTTATTAAATTATTTATGCGTAATATTATATAAGACAGAACTAATTATTTTTGCATTTTACTCAATTTAAGATAAATGTTTAATGCAGTAATTTATGAAACTTGAATTACCAAATTAAGTTTCAGTTAAAACTAATAAGAAATATTAAGAATCAAGAAATATAATTTTACTTCGTGCAATGAATATGAATCCTAATAATCCTTTTAGGTACAAAAAGACAAATTATCATTTATTCTCTAGGTTTTAAGTTCTTTTTGTATCAAGTAATTCATAAATAAAATTAAACTTTTATAATTAACGTTTCGTTTTAAAAAGTTTAAGCAATACCTAATCAAACTACCGTAATCAAAAATTTTTGCGTTAAAAGATTATAATCGTATAGAAAGAAAGTATAACAATATCAATTATTTCATAATATTCTGAGAAGACTGACGCGACATATTCTGAGAAGAATATTACTGAAAAAATTATCTATTTCACACTCACATCAAATTAATATTCATAACTTTTTACAGTATTTAAATTTAAATCTCTATTAAAATGAGTAATAATTCAACCTCATCTTCATATTCAAAAGAAAAAACTTGAAATATGTTTGAACTTATTAACTTTTCGTATTCATATCTCTTAAGTTCTGAAATTTGCTATTGTTCTTAAAGACTAGATTCTTTCTAAATGAATTGGCTAAAAGAAATTAAAACTTTTGTGAGTTTCAAAATCCTTGACATAAAAAACTTAAAAGTTGGAAATGGTTTTGTTTTTGCAAAGTTTTTTACTTTGTCTTGATATGAAACGTGTTTTATAAATTTGAAATCAAATTCAAGATATCCAAGTTTCTCAAAACATTGTGAAGATTCATATAAACTTTCTATGGAATTAAAAAACAAATAATTCAGCTGCAACAAATCAAGCAAATATGTAGAGTGTTTTCTACGACTTACACTTGCTAAGTAATTCTGGCATTTTTGTCAAAAATGAAATAACAATAACCTAAGTAGGGATGTTTCAAAAGAATATTAATAGAGAAACCCCAAATTTAAGGTAATTAAGAATCCTCAAACCAAAATTAGATTTAAACCACTTAAAGCTGACATTGAAATATTAAAAACATTTTTAATGATAACAGCACCACCCTACTTATTTAGCCAGACCAATAACCGTTAAAATAACTGTTTACCAGTTTTATTTTAAAAGCATATTCTTTCAAATTTTTAATTGCATTTACTATAATTATCCAGGGTAATAAATACTCATATTTTAGAAGCCTTGTCTTATTTTTTTACCTTAACCTTATCTTTAATGATTGATGCACCATCCTACTTAAATAACCAGACGAATAACCGTTGAAATAACAGCTTACCAATTTTATTTTAAAAGCATATTCCTTCAAATTTTTAATTACATTTACCATAATTATCCAGGATAATAAATACTCATATTTTAGAAACCTTATCTTATTTTTTTTACCTTAACCTTATCTTTAATGATTGATGCACCATCCTACTTAAATAACCAGACGAATAACCGTTGAAATAACAGCTTACCAATCTTATTTTAAAAGCATATTCTTTCAAATTTTTAATTACATTTACTATAATTATCCAGAATAATAAATATTCATATTTTAGAAGCCTTATCTTATTTTTCACTTAAATATTGACTTTTGACCCTTTGTGTAAGTTCTGAAAGCAAAAAATAAAATGTAAGCAAAATTAAATCTACATTAAGAGCGGTGATAATAGAATATCTTGCTTTTTTATTTAATTTCTGTAATTTTTAGAGTCATATATATTTTGAAGTGATATAAATATTTTACAAAAACATTTTATCATAATTAAATTCATACCAGGTAGTTAACTCTTTCAACTAATGTATTATATTTCAGATTTTTGCGATATTTAAATAACAAATCACAACTTCCATAATCTAAGCATCTAAGCAAAAACAATTTAACACGCGGCAGTTTCTTAAAAGTATATAGTTAAATTACATATCATTATTATCCCTAGAATTATTATGTTAAAAATCCCGTATTTCTTTTCGCAACTGATATGTTTTGAAAGGAATATTTAAGATAAATATGATATTATTGTTATAAATAAGGAGAAAAAACATTCGATGTATTATATTTTATCAACTACATTTTAATGACAATACTAAATTTCAAAGAACTAGCTCAAAGACGATAAAATTTTTCATACATATAGAAAACAATAAAACTGATCAACTTATGAATTGGGAAATATGTAGCAAATAAAATTATGACATAAAATGAATTGTAATTTAAAAAAATACAAAAATGCTTTCACTGTTGATTTGATCACACATTGAATGTGTCATTTGCACACTGACTAGAAAATTATTGTAACGTTTCTAGCATGATAAAATCAATCAACAAAATATTGAAACCACGAATGAGTCACGATAAAATTGACAGCAATCACGTGTCTCATTGTTTGTTTTTTTAATGCTAACGAGAGATTTGGTACCTTGTTAAATGCTGAGCAACAGTTTTCCCCCATACACTAAGCTCCTCTTTCAACTAGCCAATTATTCCGAGAGGGGGCGCTCAGATTTAATAACGGTTTTGGACAGTCACTGGAAGTCCTGTTATTTATGGACCAATTAAGGACACTTCTTTGCTCCTCTTCACCCGCTTCAAGAGATTCTCCCTCTCAAAATCATTTTACACTCTCATTCTTTCGCTGATTTAAATGCTTCATATTTTAATCGATTAATTTGCACAAGAAAAAAATGCACAAAACGTGTTGAAAATTGTATTATTCTTAAAAAAATATTTTGAATCTATTGGATTGTAACTGAAGCACAATATTGTGCCGATTTTCTGCAAGCTTAATAAATTGCCGAGCTGAACCCAAATATCGGTAAAACTAAAACGCCTTAAAATATTATATTAGACTGTAGTGTGGTTCAACTTAAAAGGAAACAATATTCAATTTAACACTTATTTTTTAGTTGTAGTAAATCTGATCTCTATTCTGGTTCAACACTTCACAGTGTATAGAAATTTCAATTAAAAATACTTTAATGACAGGGCATATATATATAAAAAAAATATTTTTGAATCTATTCGATTGTAGCTGAAGCACAATACTGTACCGATTTCCTGCAAGCTTAGTAAATTGCCAAACTGAAACCAAATATAGGTAGTTGTTGTTGTTAATTTACGTCGCACTAGAGCTGCACAATGGGCTAACCCAAATATAGGTAAAACTAAAACATCTTAAAATGTAGACTATAGTATGGTTCAACTTAAAGGGAAACAATATTCAATTTAACACTTTTTTAAGTTGCAGCAAATTTGATCTCTATTCTAGTTCAACACTTCACAGTGTAAGGAAATTTCAATTAAAAATTCTTTAATGACAGGGCATATATAAAAAAAATATTATTGAATCTATTCGATTGTAGCTGAAGCACAATATTGTACCGATTTTCTGCAAGCATAATAAATTGCCAAGCTGAACCTAAATATCGGTGAAACTAAAACATCTTTAAATATATTAGACTGCAGTATGGTACAACTTAAAAGGAAACAGTATTCAATTTAACCTTTTTTTTAAGTTGCAGTAAATTTGATCTCTATTCTGGTTCAATACTTCAGAGTGTATAAAAATTTCAATTAAAAATTCTTCAATGACAGGGCATATATTTGCCAGGGGAAGTCATATTCTCTCTGGTATGAAAATGCTTTATTCCTGTAAGCAACAAAGCAAAAAAGTAACATTTACTCTGGAACTGTGTTTTACTTTTCACACTTCCTTAAAATTTTAAGTTTCTTTCATCTCATAACTACGTCTTTCAGCAGTTTGAAATATATTTATTTTTGAATTTAATATGAAATATATATAACCACATCAGAATTGTAAATTAGAATAAACTCATTAAAAATAATTCAAAGTTATTAAATTTTTAATAAATATTTCAGAATATTTTATTAGATTTTAGCAAAAAAATTATTGAGTATAATAAAATATAGCAAATTTGTCTGTAGTTGTTGAGAAAAAGTATTGCATAAAAATTTTAAATTAAACTTTTTGTTTAAAAGTCAGTTTAATTTTTATACGGAATTTACTTCATACATTTTTTATAAGTGACTGTTATATAATTTACTTAAGCTATTTTTAAGCATTCTTCTTGAAGAAAATTTCTTTTTGCATTTTTTTCCTCGTACAAAAAAAAGTTTTTTTTATATAACAAAAATAACCTACGGAAGTTTGAAGTTGAAAGTAAAAATAAATAAATAAAATGAATAATTTATAAATAAATTTTCATATCAAAAACTTCTAATAAACGCTTCATAAATTATTTATGCAGCAGAGTAAAATAATTTAAAATAATCGAATAAAGTTGAAAATTTTTAACATGCGTTTCATTGCCTCAAAGTGTTGTTACTTCTCGTACCAAAATGTGTTTTTCTTTCATTTCAATAAAATAAAAATTAGATACAATATCAAATCTTACGTGTTTAGTAAAATTAGGAAAAAAAGGCAAGCATAATCGAGTTTATAGCAACAATTTTTAAATCGTGATCTGTCAGTAGTTAAGGCTGTCAATGTGAAGAACTAGGGTTCGATACCCACTGGTGGCTTGAATCTCACCCATGGGTACCAATGTGGCCTATGCTAAAAGCTGAACACGTTGCCGCAATCATGCTTTTGGTCACGAGATTGTGGAGTCTTAAAATCCAATCCATGACTCCAATAAAATTTAACGATTTAAAAAAAGGAACATAAATTATAAGCTTGTTTATGAATAAACCCTAAACCTGCTATATAATTGAGTGGTCTGAGTAATTAATTATGCAACTAATTTTGGGTAAAACTGTTTAAATTTTCAGGTTTATTTAAAATTTTTGCTCTTTTTGAGTTATATCGTCATATAAATAAACTAATAAATTCTACTTTTTGAAAATCAAGAAATTCTGCCATCTACAAACTTTAAAATAAGTCAAATATAAAAATATGTTCAAAAAGAAAAAAATAATAAGCAATTTTGTGGATCACAGAGAAGGAGGGATATAATATCTATCATTTGTTTCGCATAATAATAACGCCGATGTCGGAAAAATATTTCCAAAAAGGGGAAGCCAGTTGACTTAGGCAGTGCAGCGAAAGGAATCGTAGATCTAAAAAAATCACGGCTCGTTGACTACAGTAGATCCCAAAGGGATCTCTTTAACGGCCCCTGAACGCCCCGTTGGGCACTGCCAATTGATAGATGCTGGGAAAAGATGTGACGGTCGAAAATGGGAGATCGCTTGGTTATAAAGTAAGGGATTAGTGAAACCCAAGAACTTGTGATTTGTTCCTGGACTAGGAAGAAAAATGATGTCCAAGAATCGATCAAGTAAGTAGTCCAGACAGGAAAATCATAAAGCTAATCTAGAGGGGTTGCCTCCTGGGGTGGCCCTAATTGTCATAAAGAGCTGTACTTAGTTCTTTCTAATAAGGTGTATATTCTCAGATTTCGTTCGTAAAAGTAGATAGGGAAGGACTTTTATGTGAAAGATAATGCTTATTTTCATCTGATTAGTAGCAAAAATGTCTGATATAAGACGCATCAATTCTCATATAACAACACTCAATCCAACCCACATTACACATATTTTAAGAAATAAAACACATTGAGTCTTTATTATTATTATAATAAAATAAAATTTATCCTTCTCGAAATAAATTAATAAAATTTAATTTAATTAAAATTCTCAATTTTTCAAGTGATACTATTTAGAAGCTCAATGAAGAATACATTTTCATTGAAAAATTAATTAACTGGAATAAAAAAATTTAAAAAAAAAACCCACTTACGCAAATGCGTATTAAAACTTACGTAAATGTACAATGCGGAAATTTAAAAGATTAACCACCATGAATAACATTTATCTAGTGATCGAATCCTCACGTTCTTGGGCACATTCTTAATAGTTTAAAGGGGTGACCTCAAATATGCTAATTAATCAGTTCAGACGATATTTTAAGTTACGAAATCAGACACAAAAACGTACTTTCTCTGAATAAACGGAACTTTTTTTCAACGGATTCGGGTTTCTAACTTCCAAAATATGGTAAGTAGTCGTAATCTAGGGAATATGGTCCCAATAGTTTGGTCAGGAGAGCACTCCAAAGTTTGGACCCCTTAATATTGGTTTTATTTTTTGCGTATTTCACCACTCGAGAACGTTTTAAGCGAAATGAAAGAATTTTGCACACAATTATAAAATTCGTTTATCCAAAAATAAGTCCATACAAAAAATTAATTTTAGTAAATATTTTTTTAATAATAGTCGAAAAACAATTTGAACTGCAAGGCATACAATTTTTTACATAATTTTAAAGTATTTAATTTTAAATGGAAAAATCCAAATTTGAGCGAAATTGATTGAATAGTCTCTGAGAAATTAAATTTTACATATGTGACTTTCTTCAAATTCGATTTCTCTGAAACTATTCAACCAATTTCGCTCAAATTTTGTATTTTGCCATGTTAATTTTCATACTTTAAAATGATGTAAGAAGTTGCATATCTTGCAATTCAATTTTTTTCACTATTAATAAATAAAATAATAAATATTAACTAAAATTTATTTTTTGTAAGGAATTATGTTTGAATAAACGGATTTTATAATTATGTGCATTTTTTTTTAATTCGTTAAAAAAGTTTTCGAGGCATAACGAAATACTCAAAAAGTAAAATTAGCATCAAAGAGTTCAAATTTTGGATCGCTCTCCTGGCCAAACTATGGGAGGACCATATTTCCCAGATTGCGGCTACTCCCTATATTTTGGGAGATAGAAATCCGAATATGTTGAAAAAAAGCCATGTTTATTGAGAAAAAATGCGTTTTTGTGTCTGATTTCGTAACTTATAATATCTTCAGCACTAATTAATTAGCATATTTGAGGTCATCTCCTCGAACCATTAAGATTGAGTCCTAGAACGAGAAAACCCGATAATTAGATCAAAAGTCATTCAAGTTAGTCCACTTCGTGTACTGTACATAAAAGAATTTAAAAAGATTAAAGTTGAGTTCCGATTTTTATTCCATAACAAAATCTAACAGTAACAACTCAGATGAATTCTCATTGGAAAATATATTACATTGCATAATCCAATTTTCCCACATGAAGAGGCAATTTCTTAGGTTCTCGTCAACATAAAATTAAAAAAAAGTATTGTTTATCTGGAAAAAATTTATTTATGACTAATTTAAAGATATTTTCCTATAATTTTTATTTATCGCCCCCATCAGTATTTTCTACTATTATTGTATTTTTGAATTTATTATTATTTCAGATTAAAAGCTTAAAACTAAAAGCATTGTTTTCTTTTTCTAAACTAATCCTATATTATCTTATCGCTTAACATTTTACAATAAATATATTTAAATTGGTATAAAAACTTATTAACTGTTTTCGAATTATTGAAATTAAAAATCAGTTTGTAGTTCAAAATAAAAATGATTACGTAACAATCATGGATAGGTGATCGAAGCGAGCAGAGGTGAGACCCCTTATTACGTAATAAAAAACTATTGCTCTTGTCTTCAGCTCCATTCATTAATTTTACTGCATCGACTGAAATATTAAAATTATTTACAACTCTTAAACTCTTTCGACTAACTAAATAATTATTTGTTTAAAATATCAAACTACACCATTTAAAAATAAATTAAATAAAATGCATAATGCTTTAATTTGGTATAAAAAAATTTTAGAAATCATATTAAAAAATATCATTTTATAAAATTTTAAAACATAAAAGATACATAGGTTCATTTACAACTAAAACATTTAAAACATTTAATATAATTTTACATTGTTATTACCAATTAACTCAGAATCCTAGTTCTACATAAGTCAAAGAAAATTTTAATGCAAAACATTTGCCTTTACTATTTCTTATAAATTTTTCGCTATACTGAAGGACTGAAATGTTACAGAATAAGTTGAGTATGGCGTAATGTGTCAGCAACAGCTGCTACAAAAGGAGGATGTCAGTAGCAGCTTTCGTTGCGTTATTAATATACGGTGAAACCACGCCTGATTCTCATATTCGATAGAATAGGGTGTAATTTCATTTATTTTTTGAATTTTAGCTTCTAAATACTTTTATACCATAGAATAAGTTTATTCATTTAGCGTGAGCAATCAAAATATTTAAATTCATTCATCACATAAATGCCGATATCATAGGATGTTGTTTATTGTAAATTTAATTTAGAAACTTTTTCTTATTTCAAGTTGTTAACAAGAAGTTATAAATAAATTCATAAGTACATAATCTTTAGTAACTAATTTAAGTTTTAAAATGAGATAAGGAATGGAATCCTTATTTACCAAATTTTTAAGTAGTATACATATTAAGTGGTAAAATTGTGCTTACGATTTAATTGAAAAAAAAAGTTCATTACGTGCAAAATATTGTTAATTGATAAAACTGCATATTAATTTGAAATTAAAAATTTAATTCCAGTTCGATGAGCGACAGTTATTGTGCATGCGATCTAAATGTTTCTGAATTCAAATTGCTATTATTTCTATATGTTTCTGAATATCTGGGAAGTTAAGATTCATCTTGACAACACCCTTCCATAAAAGTTATAAGATAAAACATGAACGATCAAAAATGTTTCTCAATTTGTAGAGAATACTAATCTTGAGAATATACTAATCTTAAGAAAGCTTGAATCTTACTAAAAAAACGCACAAGCATCCAATGCTGCTTTAGCCAAAACAATTTTCTCACAGTAGCTCAATTTTTAATCACAAAAACTAGTCAGGTCTTTTAATGTTTATTTATATTAATGATTTTGTTATAAATCAATTTGAACTAAGTTTTAAAAGCTTTCTCAGCTTTAAGTCTGAGACATAACCATTAATATTTAATACATATTTCAATTCTTTCATTTTACATGAGTAATTTTAATTAATTAGCTCCTACTATTTTATTAGGAATAAAATATATATTTTCGATATCTCTCGTTTTCATTTACTTTTTATTTTATAAAATATTTAAAAGGAACTTGAGCTAAAAAATAGTGATGGTCCAATTTTTATTTATTATTTATTTGTCGATTTGTTTATTTATCGATTTATTTATTTATCTATTTATTTATTTATTTATTTTATTTAGTTATTAATTTACTTTTTTGCACGTTGCCTTTGTTCTTGAATGCTTTACTACGCATGCCTCAAAGAAAAACAGTGAAGAAATATCCCTGAAGTTATTAAATTTTTTCAAAAGAAAATATGTTATAAAAAATGTGAACTGTTGTTTGCTGAATTATGTATAAAAACATTGTTTCTAACGTAGAAATTTCTTGAGGAAATTTCAGTAATTTCAACTGAAATTTATTCTTATCAAAATTAAAATTTCGTTTCAATATCATTTTAACACATTGCGTGAGTTGTGATATTTATTCATGAAATCAAAAAAATAATTTGAAATACTTTTTCTCTGTTTTAAAATTTTTATTTAATATTTGTAATTTGAAAATACCAAAATGTTATTTTAGACACAACTGTAAATTTATGCATGTAAAAAATGAAACCGTTTTAACACCTGAGAAAAAAAGTAGAAAACCTTTTGAAATGTAACAGAATCGCTTTCCAAAAATTCTCCACCACATAAATAAAAACTTAAGCTTGTAATCGTACTCAGAGAAATTAACATTTACTTACTAATGAGTTTACTTGGAGGACATGTTTAAAAGACGCTTTAAAAATATTCAAACTATTTCAGCCATTTTCTTCTACATACGATTTTTCAATTTGTATAGAATTCAAATAATAATTTTAACACGTTCCTAAGCAATTGCAAGGTTTACCTACATTTTAAAATCAATAGTCTAAGCGTTCAAATTATTCAACCATTTTGTCCCACGCAAAGTTCTTCAATTAGTGTGGAATTCTAGCAGTAATTGTAACATGTTCCTTAACAATTGTAAGGCGTGCCGACACTTTACAGCTATAGTCTAAATTTTTACACTATTCAACCATTTTCTCTTACATAGGAACTTTCAATTTGTCTAGAATTCTAATGATAATTTTAACATGCTCATTAACAATTGTAATGCGCTCCGATACTTTGAAATCAGTCTAAACATTCAAACTATTTTCTCTCACATAAAATTTTTCAATTTGTATGAAATTCTAATAATACTTTTAACACATGCCTTAAAAAATTGCAAGGTTTACCAACGCTTCGACATCAACTGCCATAAAATAGACTCAGTAGGAAAAGAAAAATTTGTGTAGGGAAAATGTCGAAAACCTTCTTACGAAGCATTGTAAAAGTATTTTCTCCTGTATAGTACTTTCCGCGTGGAGAAAAAAACACCCCTCAAACCTGGGTAGAAAAGACTGATAAAAATGTAAAGCAAATATTTGGCAAAGTATTTTGTAAAACAGTTTCTACTATCAAATGATTTAATTTTTTTTGAAAAAAACTTTATCATTTATTAACCAATAAATCCATGTCAATTAATTTAGATATTTATTTGTTCAATATGGTCTCTTGTAATTTTTTTTTCGAATATTGAATATTAATTTTTTTTTACTATTAAAAAATTCTCAAGTTATATTTTATTTCTTTTTTTTTTATAACTATTGTCTTTTTATCAGACTTTTTCTATAAAAACTTTAAAAACTAAAGTGGTTTTAAAATATTTTTAGAACATTTAATTTAAAAGATTTAAGTTGTTTTCAAATACATTATAAGTATTCACTTTTTTTAACACAATTTTACGTTTAAATTTCTATTTATTTGAATTAGTGTTCTTTCTTTATTGCAAAGAATTTTCCTTTGGTTTTATTTAATAATATTAAGAGGCTTTTTTGAGGGATTTCTCCAGCTAGTATACAAAATTTGTACCAGAACTTTTGCAAAAAAGGGATCTTTTAAATAAAATTTAATCATAAACCCGATGCAAATGTTATACATTTGCATCATAAAAATTTTCCAAGTTTATATGGTCAAATAATACATATATATACGAAACTGATTTATTAAAATGCAATATAAAATTAATATATTAAGCATGTAATTGCATACGAAAGATAAAAGACTAAACCTAACTCAATTGTTTTTTCCCCTACAATCAAAACACATTTTCGGAAATAAAGCAACAGTATGTTTTCGATAAAGAAAGCAAAAAACAAATTCCAGTAAGTATATTTTTTCACCATGAAGTGTGTTTTTCAAAATAAGGCATATCAAATTCAATTTTTGATGCATAGGTTACTTTATAGAAGTTTTGGATGTGATCGGTCTCAAATATAAGCAATTTAATAGTTTGTTTCAAGTAATTATTAAAACTAATCCTTTTTTTACTACAAACGAAACATCATAGCTTGATCTATCTAAATATAGTACTTTTAAAATACTTGGACTCATTTTAAGCCCATTTTTCCTCTGATCGAGAAATACATTAAGAAAACAACTAATTACCCTGACCTAGGTCATATCAACCATTTAAATAAAACTGCAATTTTAAATAAAATATAAAAGTTTAGACAGTCTATTACTATTCTATTTGGTAAAAGGAAAAAATATCAAAAGGTTGAAATTACCAAATAAATGGTAAAATTAATGAAAGTTCTTAAGAACATTTTGGTAATTTTATTATACCTTACAGTATGACATAAAAATGATTTATTCGGCTATATTTACTCTTCAGTTTTTTATTTTTACTAAATGGGTGGCAATAAGAACTATAATTTTGAAAACCAGAATTTCCGCTAATCCATTACCATAAGAACGGAGAAATTACCAAATGAATGGTACCGAAAATTTGGGTTTTATTACCAGAATTATATTTTATTTTACCAAAAATGTCATTACCATACAAATACAGTAATCTTACTCGAAATTTTTTCTTGTACAAACATAACAGTGACTACAAATTCTCATAGTGTTGGCTCTCAGTTTTAATCAAAATTTCAATAGTAGTAAAAGTACCTTTGCAAATAACTTTTATTTATTTAAAGTACTAAAACCTACTTTTATAATATAATTCAATCTTTGTCTTTATGACGCCTTAATTATTTATTGCAACTTTATTTAAATTCATTTCAATTTTGCGAAAAATATATCATAATATGTACTTTTTAACAGAACTGTTCCTATTCATATAATCCTAATTACAATTCCAAGAGAGCAAAGGAAAAACTTTTTTTTTTTGCCACCAGATTTTTGTTTTTTTTTTNTTTTTTTTTTTTTTTTTTTTTTTTTTTTTTTTTTTTTTGAAAAATATTATGACGCTCACTATATTTTGCGGATAAATTCATTTGGTTTCATTTTTCATTCGATGAGTATTTCCAAAGGTATGTCACCGTTTTGATATCTTTTGGACATTCTATATGATATTTGTAAGGCAATAATATTTTGTCAGAAACGAATTATTTTTGCATTATACTTTATGTTATAGTAAAAGAAAAACAAATGTAATCCCGTTTAACTTAATGATAAGGTATGGAGATAACAAATAAATAATTATTGCTAATAACCCTGTCAACAATTTATTGTAACCATGATTCAAGAATACTTTTAGCCTAGATTATATATATTCAATGCTCTTTATAATGGTTGACCACGATTACAATTCTAAATTAGGATAAATTATAAACATGATTACAATTGTAATCGTATTCTAATCCCTTACATTTCTCCCATCTTCATCATTAAGTAGGAATTTAAGTTCTTTCGTTCCCTCAAAAGTTACTTTATTTTGTATCCAATTTTTAAATGTTTCTTAAAGAAAATTTCAGCATAAATTTTGTCTAGACCTCTACACAAACAGGCAACATTCTTATGAATTTTACGACAAAAGCAGAAAAAAAAAATATGAGCAATGAAAGCGATAACTTAACGAAACATTGTAAAACTACTTTCTCCTGCATAATACTTACGAAGCGGAGAAAAAAGAAAGAATAAACCGATTCTCACTTCTAGAACGAGGAACAAAGAATGAAATTTTTAAAAAAGGCACA